AAAGTACGTCCGGAAGAAACCATGGCTCTCTCCTATATAAAAGAGCCCATTGTATAAGGCCATAGTGGATCTAGGATAATCAAAACACCATGAGCATTGAACTCCCCAAAGACATCCGCCAAGAAGCGCTGTTGAGGATGGCACGTTGTGGGACATCCCCTTGACCTTTGTGCCCCAGCCGCAAAACCTGCCTCAGTTTTTGGCGGATGCTCAGGCGGCTTTTGCAGCAGGCAGAGAATTGGCCTTTGCCACCGTAGACCTAAAAACCGGCCGCATCGCGGGCAGCACCTGCTTTCGTTGCATCGATGTAGCCCACCGCCGCGTGGAAATTGGCTTTACCTTTTTGGCGGCATCCCAGAGCAGCGCACGCACATTAACACTGAAGCGAAATACCCCATGCTGCGCCATGCCTTTGAGACCTGGGGCTGCAACCGAGTGGAGCTGATTGCGCTCCGCACAGACACATTTTCGTACAATGCGAAGCATGAAAACCTTACATACCACCTCTATTACCAGTTTGCCCTTGCTTGCCCGCGGCAAGGTGCGCGATAACTATGCCGTAGGTGATAAGCGCATTTTGATGATTGCCAGCGATCGGATCTCTGCTTTTGATGTCATCATGAGTGAACCCATCCCTGAGAAAGGCATCATCCTCACGCAAATGGCGCTGTTTTGGTTTGACAAATTGGGCGGTATTTGTCCCAATCATTTAACTGGTGAGCAGCCCGAAAGCGTGGTAACTGAGGCTGAGCGCCCCCAGGTCAGCGGTGGGCGTGCGATGCTGGTCAAACGCCTAAAGCCCATCCCCGTAGAGGCTGTGGTGCGCGGTTACTTGGCCGGTAGTGGTTGGGCAGAATACCAGGTCACACAAAGCGTCTGTGGTGTGCCCTTGCCTGCGGGCCTGGGTAATGCGGCGCAATTGCCTGAGCCCATTTTTACCCCGGCCGCGAAAGCTGAAGTTGGTGAACACGATGAGAATATCCACTACGAACAGGTTGTAGCCGTAGTCGGCGAGAAGTTGGCCGCACAAATTCGCGATACCAGCATTGCCCTGTACACGGCGGCACGCGACTATGCAGCGACCAAGGGCATTATCATTGCCGACACCAAATTTGAATTTGGCTTGGATGAAGATGGCACCCTGACACTAATGGATGAGGTGCTCACACCCGACTCCTCCCGTTTTTGGCCTGCTGATAGCTATGCTGCGGCACTGGCCACTGGCAAAAACCCCCCCCAGCTTTGATAAACAATATTTGCGCGACTGGTTAGAGAC